TTTTTTTTTTTTTTTGCTAACCCACTTTTTTGGGGCCCACGTTTTTGGAAACCCACTTTTTTGGGGCTAAAATTGGACGAAAAGTTAAGGCTATAGTCTTACTTTTTGCTGTTTTTTTTTTGTTGTTGCTAAAATTGGATGAAAAGTTAAGGCTATATAGCCTTACTTTTTGGTATTTTTGGGGGGGCTAACATTAGATGAAAAGTTAAGGCTAGATATATATGACCTTACCTTTTTGCTGCTTTTTTTTTTTTCGACTAAAATTTAACGAAAAGTTATGGATATAGCAGCGTTACTTTTTTGCTGGTTTTGTTGGGCTAAATTTGGACGAAATGTTAATGATGTTTTTTGGACGAAATGTTAAATGCTGTTTTGTTGGCTAAAATTGGACAAAAGTTAAGGCTGTAACCTTACTTTTTTGCTGGGGTTATTTTTTTGCTAAATTGGGAGGAAAAGTTAAGACTATACAGTGTAGCCTTGGTTTTTTGAGCTAAAATTGGACGAAAGGTTAAGGATATAGCCTTACGGTTTTGCTGGGGTTTTTCTCACGTTTTGTAAGAAACGTTATGGTTATAGCCTTACTTTTTGCCGTTTTTTTGGGCTAAAATTAGACGAAAAGTTAAGCTGTAGCCTTACTTTTTTGCTCTTTTTATGGGCTAAAATTGAACGAAATGTTATGGTAGCGTAACTTTTTTGCTTTTTTTTTTAAATTAGAAAAGGACGACAAGCTATAACCTAACTTTTTTCCGTCATTGGTCCTTCATAAAAAAGAGAATAAAGTCGCTTAAAATCGAAAAAACTAAAGGCTATGGCCTTACTTTGTTGCTGTTTTTGGCCTTTATAAAAAAGTGTCTAAAAGTCGACGAAAATTCAATGCTATATAACCTTACTTTTTTGAATTGTATTAATTAGAATTGTATTAACTATGGTTTCAAACTAACCCAACAGAACGAAAAATGAAGAAAGTAAAAACAAAAACTTACGGTAATCTTCATGAATTCTACCTTTAATATATTGATTTAAAGTACATCAAAATTATTCTCGGCTAGTAATTGTCGAATAAGGTCTTGAATGGCCTAAAAATAAAGTTGCACAAAAATAAATATCATGTGAAGGGACCTTCTGTCTAATGTCAGACGATTTCAATCATCAAGGAGAGTGCACTGGTTATGATGGGTTAAGCAGTCAAACATGTGCAGATCATAAGCAGGGGCGAAACTTGATGAGGGGTATCGAGGGGGGGGGGGGGGGGGGTAACCCC